CAAGGTGGCTCATGCCTGTAATCCCAGTGCTTTAGGAGGCCGAGGTGGGCGATCAATTAAGGTCAGGAGTTCGAAACCAACCTAGCCAACATGGGGAAACCTGTATCTACTAAACATACAAAAATTAGCTGAACGTGGTGGTGACGCCTAGAAGCCCAGCTACTTGGGAGACTGAGGCAGGAGAATCGCTTGAACCCGGGAGTCAGAGGTTGCAGTGAGCTGAGACTGTACCACTGCACTCCAGCCTGGCGACAGGGTGAGACTCCGTCTCAAAAAAAAGGAAAAAAAGAAAGAAAGAAAAAAATATATGTACATGTATATGTGTGTATATATATGCATATATGTATATATATGTATACATGTATATATGTGTGTATATATATGTATGGTTTGCTTCCTCATTAACCTTATCAAAGCCTCTCATTTACTCCCCTCCTGTGGACCCCAAACCATAAACCATGACTGCGGTACCCGGTTTATGAATCGCTGTTTGCTCAAACACACCGTTTAAGGTTTTAACAAAGCCTCAGGTTAATTTTAGGGGGAGAAAGGTGGGACTGGAAGCTCCATGAACCACAGCTCCTCCCACGCTGGAACTCCGCTCACCGTCAGGGCTCTCCCGGATCACCCTCTCGTGGTCACCGCACTACCTGGGTGGGGGAGGCGCGGGCTTCCCTAGAGGGTTCCCGCCGGCGGAAGTGGCGCCCACAGGTACAGACAGGACGCAGGGGTCCCGCTGTCCGCGCCGCCCGGCCCTGCGCAGAAGGGGACTGAGGCCCGGCTGCGCCGCGGCGACTCGGTCCGCAGGTTCCGCAGCCGATGGCTGGTTCCAGCAGGTTTCACCCAGCCCTCTTCCCCACTTCGGGAAGCCAGGCGCAGTCCACTCACCATTCCTCGGCTTCCCGGGTGTCCCGGCGTCAGCTAGGGATGTCCCAACACCCGCAGGTCACAGGGTGGCAGAGGCTGCTGCAGAGCCACCCGGGCCTCCCAGAGCCAAGAAGTAGCAGCGGAGACTCACAGAAAGACCCTACTGTGGCGAAGGCGAGACAAAGCGCCCGCCAGCCAGATCCCGGAAGCCGCTCTCTCCTTTCCGGCGGCGCGCCTTATTGAACGGCCCCCACCCCAGCGCCCCTGATTGTATGGGGCTTCAGGCCCCGCCCCCTCAGGCCCAGAGTGACAGGAGATTGCGATCTCACGTGAGGCTGGATGAGGCCAGAATGACCGTTTTGGCCTAGCGGTTTGTAGGGGGTGCGTCCTTCCTGCGCTGGGATCTGACCACGCAAGGAGGACATTCGCATTTAACCTTGTATACAAGGTTATAGCTATTTGTGCATAATATAGATATAAAATTGCAAGCAATATAATAACAATTCTGTAACGGCCCAGTGGGTTCACCTTGCCCGCTACCTAGACAGAGCCGGTTTCTCAAGACGGGGGGAATAGCAATAGAGAAGGAGTAATTCACGCAGAGTCGGCTGTGCGGGAGACAGGAGATTTGATTTTAGTTTTATCTTATCTTATCTTATATTATTTATTTTATTTTATTTTATTTTATTTTATTTTTATGAAACAGAGTCTTGCTCTGTCGCCCAGGCTGGAGTGCAACCTCGGAGTTTTATGATTATTCAAATCTGTCTCCTTGAGCATTTGGGGATAAGAGTATTTAGAAAGTTTATTTTGCCAGGGTTCAGGATGCTTGTGCGTGACACAGCCTCAGGATGTCCTGATGACAGTTGCCCAAGGTGTTCAGAGCACAGCTTGGTATTGTTGGAGATAAATGCTTGGTGCCCCAAGGTGAAACCAGCACTCAAGTAAAAGTTTTATCAGCAACGCAATTTACCTCTGCGGAAGCGTGCTGCTGCTCGCATCAATCACAATCGCGAGAGCACACAAAACAAAGGAAAGCCGGGGTTTTTATTCCTGACGCAATCCCTACCTCTGGCATGGGCTGGGGCCAGACCTCAAGATCTAAACTGACCCAGTTGGCTATTTGTGAATATTTTCCCAAATAAGGAAGGGGGAAGGGGGTTGTGAGTTACAACGGTGGGACGTGTGGTTTCGAAGGGAGAAATGGGTGCAGAGCAGGTAACCAAGGGAACAGATGTGAGTGATTGATTAGAACTGGCGGGGAAGGTTCAGTAACTAGGGCAAGGAGGCATGGAGAACAAGAAAGTTGGGTTCGACAACAAAACACAAGAACGTTAACATGCCACACCTTGGAAGAGAAACTGACTGTATCTGACAGTTTTATACATTTTAGGGAGACAGGAGACATCAATCAACATATGTAAGATGAACACTGGTTTGATCCAGTACAACCAGAAGCAAAAGTGGGTCAACTCAAAGCCAGGAGGGGGCTTCCAGGTCACAGGTAGGTGAGAGACGAACGGTTGCATTCTTCTAAGTTTCTGATGAGCCTTTCCAAAGGAGGCAGTAAGATATGCATTCTTCTTATCGAGCAGCAGATGACTTTGAATAGAATGGGAGGCAAGTTTGCCCTAAACAGTTCCCAGACTGGCTTTTCCCTTTATCTTAGTGATTTGGGGGACCCAAAATATTTTCCTTTCCAATTTCCCCCTTTTGTTTTAACAATATTTTGGAGAAAGCATTTTAGAAGAAAATCAGTCTCTGGTGCCAGGTTTTGTCTGATTTCTCATGGAGTAGCTGGGATTATAGGCTCGCGACACCACATCTAGCTTTTTTTTTTTTTTTTTCGGTAGAAACGGGGGTCTCCCTCGGTTGCCCAGGCTGGTCTCTGGTGCCCAATGCGGGGCTCCCCATAATCTCTACAAATAATCCAGTGACGGAACACCAGAGCGTGGAAAGCTGAGGACGACCGACAAAGGACTCCCGAGTAGGTTTTCACTTCAAGCTCTAGGGTAAGGAGGGCGCTCGGAGAATTCCAGGGAAACCTCAGGAAAATATGGGTCAGGCAGAGAGTAAGTTCACTAATTACTTAAGCCTTGTACTGCAGTTACTGCGCCGCGGAGGGGTAATTGTGAGTACCCAAAATCTCACATCTTTGTTCCGTCTGGTAGACAAGTATTCTCCTTGGTTCCCGGAATATGGAACCATGAATGTAGAAGATTGGGACAAGGTCGGATCAGACTTAAAACCAGCACAAGAGGGCCACAATATTCCCCTCTCTGCTTGGTCTGTGTGATCGGCAATTAAAACAGCACTGGAGCCCTTCCACACTGAGGAGGAGGAGGAGTTTCAGGATGACATAGGAAAGTTGAATAATCAGGAGTCTAATTATCAGCAAAGTGAACCATGACAGTCTAGTTTAAAAAAGGGCGAGAAACGAGAAGGTATGTAAGCTAATCTCCAAAAACGTAGAAAAGAAACAGTGCCACCTACTGCGCCTTTAGGGGAAGGTCTGGAATGGCCATCTCCATGCCAGACTTAGGAATTTTTGGAAGGGGAGCCTGAGATGCGCCTTGCAGCTCCCATTGTTGCAGACCCCGCCAGTAACTATGGCGAAAGGAAGCTTCAGGCTTGTCCAACAGCCAATTACCATAAGTGAATGATCCAGGCTTGCCCACCTGCTAACTATGTAGAGGAGTGCTGTGAGCCGGTCCAAATACAAATTATGGCACATGGACAATCCAGGCATCCATTTGCCAGGCACAAGAAATGGGGGATTTGAATGCTTGGCAGTTTCTGGTTGTTATTTCGCCAGCTGAGGAGGCTAGAGAACTTGCTCAAGCATGCTGGAAGCCATTTCCTTTTAAAATATTAAAAGACTTAAAGCAAACAATTGGACAATATGGGCCAAATTCTCCTTCCGTTCATTCCTTGTTACAACGTGTGGCTTATAACAGACATTGAATACGTATGGATTGGGAGGCATTAGCCCGATCCACCCTGTCCCCCTGTGAATTTCTCCAATTGAAAACCTGGTGGACAGATGAAGCAATAAATCAGGCACGCAGAAATGCTCAAGACCAACGTCCCGTTAATATCACATCTGATCAATTGCTCGGAATCGGACAGGCATGGAGTACTCTAAATCAACAGATGGTAATGGGTGATAAGGCTGTTGATCAGCTCAGAACTACATGCCTAAGAGCCTGGGAAAAAATTCACGACGCTGGTTCTGCTTATCCTTCTTTTAACACAGTTCAACAGGGTCCAAGGGAGCCTTTTCCAGATTCTATCACTCCTTTGCTGTATGCCGCTCAAAAGGCTATTTCCGATTCTCATGCCAAGAAAGTGATCGTTCAGGTGCTTGCTCATGAAAATGTTAATACAGAACGTCAGGCAGCAATTAGACCTATTAAGGGATTGGCAGATCTAAATGAGGAAAAAACTTTAAGTGAATACACTAAAGTCTATGATGGCATTGGGGGCACTTATATAAGGCCAGCATCCTTATATAAGGCCAGGGGGAGAGAGGGGGATCCTATTACTCCCGATATCGTGGGGGGTGCCTCACCCCCCTGTGATGAGGATCGTAACAGCGAGGGGGAGAGAGGGGGTTGCTATTACTCACCATTACGATGTGGATCGTAATCATTACTCCCCCTGCAATGCGTGTCCATTACTAACAATCTCCTTTGTTCAGGATATTAGGAACAATTTCACAAGTTTTGTGTACACAGCCTGCGATAGGAGAAGAATACCATCCTTCTCCTATCTCACCTCCGGATATTAGGAACCATACCACACAATGGGTGTACACTTTTTGGGAGATTTGGGGTAATGTCCTCCTGTGTTTCCCTGAATATTTGGAGACATATCACAGGGCGGCTGTACACCGACTACTCTCTTGGCAGGAACATCATACTTTACCTACTGGAAATTAGGAGCAATATCACAGACTGGATGTCAAGCCACTGTCATATTGGAAGTAATATCATGCTCTCCCCCACAAGTTATGAGGAACAATAACACGGGGGGTGTGTACCTTCTCCGGTAGTGGAAGTAGTATCATCATCTCTTCCTTTAGATGACAGTGTAGCAGGACAAGCCACAGACAAAACTCCTCAGACACCGGATTAAAGAAGGAAGAGGTTTTTTATTCGGCCGGGAGCGTCAGCAGACTCGCGTCTTAAGAACCGAGCTCCCAGAAGAAGAAATACGTGGCCTTTTTGGGTCATGATAAATCAAGCATGCGTGGAAAACGTGACGAGGGACTACATGCATCAGCTAACAGAACAAAAAGTTTTACAGTGCTTTCTCATACAATGTCTGGAATTTACAGGTAACACTAGTAGTTTTGGTCAGGGGTTGATATTATCATTATTATTTTAACCATCAGGGCCAGGTGGTGGTACCAAGGTCGTCTAGCTATTTATCTTATTTCTGTTTCTTTCCAACTTTTTGCTTTCTCTCTCTTCTCCTGTCTTATAAACTAGGGAAAAGGGGAGAGGGGAAAAGCTGGGAAAGACAGCAGGAGAAGTGGTGGTCTCATTCTATATTTCCCCCCTTTGAGAATTTTCACTTTTTCAGTGGGAGTTCTCACTCTCATCTTCACTTTCTGAGTCTCTCTGCGAGATAGAGCCATAGTGATTCATATAATACACATGTGCTGAAGTTTTCTGATAAACCAAAGTAACAACAAAATTTTTATTATTTGAAAAAGCAAGGGTAATACACAGGGGAGCAGCAAGCAAGTTCCTATTACTAGCGATACACCTACAACGAGGGTTTTAAATCCTCCTATATCTGGAAACCATTTTCCAAATAAAGACTCAGGATCAAACTCATGCCAAACCTGTACGGGCACATGTGCCAACTTTGTCATGTCCCTGACTATGTTTTCAACCACCTGTCCTTGATCATCTATTTGTAGGCAGCAATTGGTTAAGTTAAATTTTCCACAGACTCCTCCTTCAGCTGCCAGCAAGTAGTCCAAGGCCAGTCTATTCTGATAGTTAGCATTTCTCATTTGGGTTTCCTGCCGAGCTAAAGCAGTCAAAGCTCTGCCAGTTTCATTAGTAATTATTTCTAATACAGCCTGCAACCGTATGATCCGATTGAGCATGGAAATGGGGGTCCAGTATCCCCATGAGCCATCTTGTGCCCATGTGGCCAGCCCATAATACTGTATGATCCTTTCAGGAGGCCACTCATTATCTTTCCAGTTTCCTATAACTATGCCTCTCTTTTCTTAGGAGGCATAGACAGGGAAACCTAGGAGCTCACCCGTTTTTACAGGTAATAAGAAAAAGGACGGTTTAATAGTGCCAATAACACAACTACCTATGCATTTATTATGTAACCGAATATAGGCTCTGTGCCCACATATCCAGTATAGTCTAGCAGGAGCCTTCCAGTCCTGATAAGATTCTGTATGAGCCCAGGCAGTTTTTAATGTAGAAAATTTACTGAATGGGTTCTTTTCAGTGTGATTTAGGCCCCACCAACTAATTGTTTTTGTTGTGCTGTTGTGCAACTTCCGTCCTATACAATTAAGCTTTCCTACAGGGATGGTGAAGTCTTTTCCTTCTCTGGCTATACAGTATTGTCCAATAATTGAGGTTTTTAAGACCCAGAAGCTGCTAGCTTGGGCCTTCTGAACTGGAATTATACCAGGAGCTGGATCATTGGGCACCAACTCTCGGGCTTCCCAAGGCCATCGGTCTCCGATAGTGGTTCCCCCGCATATATAACAAGAAGTAACATTAAGGGAATGAGCTACATTTTCTGCTACTTGGAGAAACAAATTTTTTGTCTTTTTCGGAAGTTCTGGTGCTGGCAGATTCAGCTCCTCATAAAAGGTTTGAAACACTGGTTTGGGAGAGCGCCTGTAGACCTCCCCTCGGACTAAAATGGCAACGTGGGGGTTTAACCCTGTCCCATCGATCCCCAGGGTTACACGTTCTCCCTTTTTCCAATGGGGGTCTAGGGGATTGGTGATTATTAGTTCCAGTGGGTTACAGTGACCAGCAGCACAGGAGGGGCTGGCTTCCCCCTTCTGAAGATGAACCGGGTCCTTTTTGTTCTTTTTTCAAGTAGCCCAAATAACACATGGCCAAAAGGCACAATTTTCACAAACCCCTGACTCAAGACAAACATATTTATTTTCTACTCTGTAGCTCCTTTCCCAGTTAAGAGAACGACATCCTGTTCCTAGCTTGTTACTATTAATGGCTGCACAAGCATCAAATCTTAAAATTACTTGTTTGGGGATTCTTTTTCCTTCTGTTCTAGTTGTTATTTTACTTGTATCACTTAGGTAAAGGCCAGTTCTTAATCTTATTTCAAAAACGGTGGTTGCAGGGGACTCAGATGGGTTATAACACACATCAGATTGGTCATTTCCCGGGCTACATACCTTGTACTGAGTGGCATTATACAAACAAGTTTCTTTCAACGTTCCCATACATTCATAAGAACTATAGAACAGAAAGATTGTTTTAATTTGTTGTCCTACCTCAGTGACCTGATGAATACACTGGGAACAGTCACCAGTTTGAGTAAGGCCAATTGAAGTCCTTACTGTATAAGTCCAAAATTTAAGAAAAATGAATCCCACCATGAGATTCCTCATGTTTCGGCCGTGCGTGGACCAGTCAGCTTCCGGGTGTGACTGGAGCAGGGCTTGTTGTCTTCTTCAGGATCTCTCTGCAAGGGTTGTCCGGGCTTGGTCTTGCCTCCCAGGTTTCAGGCGCTGCAGGTTTTACAGGGCTGTGGTGGATCCAGGCTGGGATTCCCTCTACCTTCACAGCTGTGGGAGTGGTCAAGATAACAGTCTGGGGTCCTTTCCACCGTGGGCACAAAGAGGCTACATTCCAGTCCTTGATCCACACTTGATCACCTGGGGAGAAAGGGTGAACTGGGGAGAATAAGCTAACAGGGCATCTCTTATTTACCCAGGCTGAGATTGTTTGTGTAATTTTCCCTAAAGCCTGTAACTGTAGCTGTAACTCAATTTCACCTAACTCTCGGGGAGTGCCTGGAAGTCCCCACAATATGGGAAGGGGCCTATGATATAATATTTCATAAGGGGAATATCCTGTTCTTTTAGAAGGGGTACATCTAATTTTAAATAATACCATAGGGAGAGCCTGTATCCATTTTAATCCTGTTTCCTGACATACTTTCCCTAAACTCTTTTTGATAGTCCGATTCATCCGCTCCACCTTTCCTGAACTCTGAGGCCGGTAGGCAGCATGCAATTTCCATGTGATCCCCAATACCTTTGCTGTCTTCTGTACCAAGTCAGCCACAAACGCCGGCCCGTTATCTGAGCTGATCCGTAAGGGCAGTCCAAATCTAGGAATAAGATCTCGAAGAAGCACACGGGTTACTTCACGAGCTTTCTCAGTTTGTGTTGGATAAGCTTCAACCCACCCAGACTAGGTACACACAAGAACTAGTAAATACTTGTTACCTCCACACTTTGGCATCTCTGTGAAGTCCACCTGGAGGTCTTCAAAGGGGGCTGCTCCATAAGCTTGTATGCCGGGTGGAACGGCTGGACCTTGTCTTGCATTATGCTTTTGGCAGGTAACACACTGCTGCGTCACCGTTTTGGCAAGGGCTGACAAATGCGAGATGTAGAAATACCAACCTAACAACTTTTCAAGTGACTCCTGACCTAGATGGGTGGTTTCATGCACAGCCAGTATAACTGCAGCTCCTAGCAGCTGTGGCACAGCTACTCTCCCATCTGGTAACCGAATCCATCCTTCCTCCATCTCTTGTCCTCTCTCTGCCTGGAGAAAGTCCTTTTCTTCTTTAGAATAAGTAGGTACAAGATCAGGTGCTTGAGGGAGCAGGGGGGCTGTGACTGATGCCCGGAAGGGGGCAGATGCTGCTTTTCGAGCCTCTGAGTCAGCGCGGGAATTCCCCAAACCCACCAAGATGGAAGCTCGCTGGCGTCCTCTGCAATGCATAACTACCACCTTGTGGGGTTTCCATACTGCTTCTAATAATTGTAAGGTTTCTTGTGGATATTTTATATCCTTCCCCCCAGAGTTCAATAGGCCCTTTTCTTTATATAATGCTCTATGCACTTGAAGAGTTAAAAAGGCATACCGAGAATCAGTGTAAATGTTTACAGTCTTACCTTCACTGAGTTCTAAGGCCCGAATTAAAGCAATGAGTTCAGCTTTCTGGGCTGAAGAGCCCTGGGGCAACGATCTGGCTTCAACAACAGTGTCCAGGGTTACCACTGCATACCCTGCACATCTCTCTCCTTGTGGGTTGATGAAGCTGCTCCCATCCACGTGTAGTTCCCAGTCTACTGTTGCCCAAGGCTGGTCCCGGAGGTCAGGTCTGCTAGAGTAAACTGAGTCCAACACTTCTACACAGTCATGCTTGACAGGGCTCTCTGATACCGGGAGCAAGGTGGCAGGATTCAGGGTATTACAAACCTCAATAGTTATGCGGGGATTCTCACAGAGCAAACTTTGGTACTTGGTGAGTCTAGCATTCGTTAACCAATGATATCCTTTAGTGTTCATTAAAGTCACCACAGCATGGGGGGCCTTTATGTTCAGGTTTTGCCCAAGAGTCAGCTTATCTGCTTCTTGTACTAGTAGAGCAGTTGCTGCCAAGGCCCTCAAACAAGGGAGCCATCCTTTAGAAACCCCGTCTAGTTGTTTCAAGAGGTAAGCCACCAGCCTCGGCCAGGGCCCCACCTTTTGGGTTAAAACTTCAACTGCCATCTTTTCTCTCTCTGACACATACAATGTAAAAGGCTTTGTCAGATCAGGTAGCCCCAGGGCTGGGGCTGACATAAGTTTTTCCTTTAACTCATGAAAGGCTTGCTGTTGTTGGGATCTCCATTCAAAAAGTTCCCGGTGCCCCCTCTTTGTGACCTCATACAAAGGCTTGGCTACTATTGCAAAGTTTGGGATTCACAGTCTGCAAAATCCCACAGCTCCTAAGAATTCTCTCACCTGCCTTCTGCTCTTAGGCTCCGGTAGATTGCCAATGACCTGCTTTCTTTCTGATCCCAGGCTGCGCTCCCCCTGTCGGATAGTAAATCCCAGGTAACGTACCTTCTGTAGGCAGATCTGAGCTTTTTTCTTGGACGCTTTATACCCACAGTCCTCCAGGTGCCGGAGTAGGGCATCCGTTCCCTTGGCGCACCCGACTGCCGTGGGGTGTCCCAGCAGAAGTTCATCGACGTACTGGAGCAACACGCAGCCTATGTCTCTGGTGGAAAACTTCTGGAGGTCTCGAGCCAATGCCTCCCCAAAGATGGTGGGGGAGTTCTTGAACCCTTGGGGAAGCTGGGTCCAAGTGTACTGAGTAGTGACACACCTGACTCCGGATCTTCCCACTGAAAGGCAAAGAGCTTCTGGCTCTCAGGGGCTAATCTGATGCTAAAGAAAGTGTCTTTCAGGTCCAAGCAGGTGAACCAGGTGTCCTCAACTGGCAGCAACCCCAACAATGTGTACGGGTTAGGTACCGTTGGATGTAAAGTCACTGTAGCTTGATTAACCAAGCGCAAATCCTGTACCGGCCTGTAGTCCTTGGTCCCTGGCTTCGGAACCGGCAGGAGGGGAGTATTCCATGGAGACTGACAAGAAACTATAATTCCAAAGGTTCTTAGGCGCTTGAGATGGACCTGGATACCTTCAAGAGCTTCTCTGGGGACCGGGTACTGTTTTTGCCTCACCGGCTGGGCCCCAGGCTTAACTTCTATAAGTACGTGGGCTTGGTTGACTGCTAACCCTGGAGGGTTGTCTTCGGCTCACACTTTTGGCCACCGCTTAGCTTGGTCTTATCTCTTGGACCAGCTCAGTTAAGAAAAGCCTCCATTCCTCCTCTCCGGGGACCATAAGGGTCATAATGACTCCCGTTCCAGGTAAGTTTAGCAGCAAAGAGCCATGCTCTGTAAAAGAGATAGTGGCTCTCAGCTTGCTAAGCAAGTCCCTTCCCAGCAAGGGCAAGGGACAGTCAGGCATGTACAAAAACTGATGAATCACTTTATGTCCTCCTACAGTACAAGTCTGGGGCAAGCAGGAAGCTTGCTTTGCTGAAACCCCCGTGGCTCCGATTATGTCAATAGTCTTTTTGGATAAGGGGGCGACCGGGGTGGATACTACAGAATGTTCAGCACCGGTATCTACAAGAAAATCAATGTCTTTACCCCCGACTGTCATCCTGACCGTAGGCTCTTTGGGGGCACTTGAGCCCAGTCCCCCTCAGTCCAACAACCCTTCTGCCAGGTTGAGCAGGGTCCCTTCCTCCTTGTCTGGGGCCTCCTGCTCTGAGTCTCCTTGTTTTCCTTTTAGCTGAGGGCATTTGTTCTTCCAATGTCCCATTTCTTTACAATAAGCACACTGGTTACGCTGCAGACTCTGACAGCCAGGCTGAGTTTCTTTCCCAGGGCCGCCCTTCCCTTGCCTCTTTAGGGGGACCCCTCTAATTGCTGCAGCCAACAGGTCAGCGTTTCGCCGGGCCTGGCGTTCATTCTCTTTGCGATTTTCCTTACGGCTTACTGCATCCCTGTTTACAAACACCTGGTGAGCTATTTCTAATAACTGTGATATATTCATCGCTGCAAAACCAGCGTGTTTCTGCAGTTTTCTTCTAATGTCTTCTGCGCTTTGACTACTAAAGCCGTGTTAATCATGCACTGATTTTCAGGGCTATCGGGATCAAAGGGGGTATACATATGATAGGCCTCACACAGCCTCTCATAGAATTGTGCTGGACTTTCTTCTTTTCCCTGAATGACCTCAGAGACCTTGTTAACGTTTGTGGCCTTCTGGGCTCCCCTCTTTAATCCTTCCACGAGAGCTTCCCTGTATCGGTTCAGCCTTTGCACACCCCCTCTTTCATTTGGGTCCCACCGGGGGTCAGTTTCTGGTAACTGGGTCCTTACATACTCTTGGGGGTTTTGGTAATCAGCTGGTACATGTTCCTCTAGCCACTTGGTTGCTGCTTGGAGCACTCTCCACCTTTCATCTGTGTTAAAAAGGAACATGAGCAACTGGTGGCAATCAGCCCAAGTGGGGTTATGGGTCTGGATAATAGTTTGGAGCAAATCAATTAGAGCTTGTGGCTTTTCAGTATAGGACGGGGTATTGTTTTTCCAGTTGAGAAGGTCGGCAGAGGTGAAGGGCTGGTACACAAAAACACGCCTCTCCACCATGTGACCATCCTCATCTATCCCAGTATACCGCTGCCCTCTCAGGGGCATTTGTACCCCAGTTTTGGGTCGCAAACGAGCTGCCAAGGGAGGGCTTTCTCCTGAGGCTTCACCTCCTCTCTTATCTACTCTGGGTGGCCTAGGGATATGTTTGTCTTGCGGAGGCACAAGCTCTGTGGGCTCAAGAGTGGGGAGCCTCTCTCCCTGGTAAGGGGAGGGCACCACTGGGATCACTGGTGCCATCTCCTTCAATGGATCTTCTGATGTTGGGTCGAACAGAACTTCAGGAGTTGATTTCCCTCGGTGAGTGGAGCGGGATCCTTCCTTGGCTATCTATCCCTTTGCCACTAGCACTGCTGTTGCTTGCCCTCTTAGCCACTGTGGGGGGTCTAGCACCAGCTGTAACCAAGTGTCTATGTATGGGAACTGGTCTGGCTGTCCTAACTTACCAGTTACCTTATGCCATACCTTAGAAACAAGGGACCTGTCCAGGCTTCCTTCTGATGGCCAACCCACTTCTAATGTTGGCCAATCTATTTCCCACAAAGTTCTAAGTTTTCCTGGTGTCATAGTAACCCCATAGTCTCCATTAAATGCCTTCTTAAAATTTTTCAACATAGTTCCTAGCGGAGTGGGCTCACTTTGTGTCTGACCCGTGTTTCCTATGAGACAAAACACCACGCTCACATCACACGCACACCACAAAACAAAGAACAGGTAAAAAAGGGCACACACACACTTTTTAAGTTTATACCAAACCAGAATCAAAACCAAAATCAGAGTATCCAGAAATCCGAGCCAGTTCAAAACCAAAACCAAAGTATCAAACAATTCAAGTCAAGTCAAAAACAAAAACCAAAGTGCCAGTACAGGCACGCCGTGGGTGATCAGGCCACGCTTCCACTCAAATGGAGTGGGCAAGTTCCAAAGACTGGCCTTAGCAAGTTTCAGATGTGCAGACTTAAAGTGCCCGTTCCTTCCCGGTGTTCAGCCACTGTGTTGATCCTCCGCGGGGGCCTGCTGTGCACTCTGTGCTGTGTACTGGGACCTGAAACAGCACCCAGCACCCTGAGAGCACAGGAATTCTGAGGGTCAGGAAAGAATGAACGCAGCTTCTTATGTGCCCCACCCAATCATCCCAAGTGAAGTATGGACCTGCGAGCTGAAGTGACAAGCTCAGGCAGGTCAGGCAGTTCTGTTACTTAAGCCTGGTTCTTCCTGACTCCAAAGGCCAGGCGCCACCCCATGCTCCTTCCCAGCAGAAGTTGGTTTTCACCTGGTCAGGAGGACAGGATGGCTATTCCTGACCGTTGTACAGCAGTGCCACATCTCCTAGTTTCCAGAACATTTAATGTGCTACTGTGGAGGCCTGACAGCTCTGAAGTAACCCCTTGCACCCAGGAGAAACCAGGCCTGGAGAGGTGGGATGGGGTAGGCTGAGACTTCCAGTATCCCACGTGGGCATCCCGTTGCTAAGGGCAACCGCCCCTCCCCGGGAGGGTGGGGAAGGAACAGGGAGGCACACCCTTCCTCCCTCCGCGTTTCACTGGAGATGACCTGCGTCCTACCGTGGTTGCACGTGGACCAGCCCAGAGGGACTGGAGTGACTCTTCCCTCAGGTGGGGCGCAGCCGTCCTGGGCGCAGGGCCTCACAGCAATCCCTGGACCCTGCCTCCCTGGGGATCTCCAGGGGCTGTCCCGCGACTCGGTGAGCTGGGGGTGCGGGGAACCACAGACGAGGCAGGCGCCTAAATTGCTTGGGCGGAGTCTGGCTGCTTTCCCCCTCCATGCCCCTCCCTGTGTCCTGGGGCCCCTCGGGTCCTGGCAGCAAGCCAGCAGCGGTCCGGTGTCAGAAGTTCGAGTCCAGGCTGACTCCTCAGACGCACCGACTTTGCCTAGGAGAGCTGGGGAGAGGACAGGCCCAAAGTGTCATCTCTGATTATTCTTTGACCCCAAAGCCAGCCTTGGGCATGTGCCCAGCACAAGGATTGCTGCTGCCTCCGCAGGCTCTGGCTTGCCCTGAGTTTGAGTCACTTTTGCTTCCTCGCCCCTCTCTGCTCTGTTTGGTTTAAAAAACAAAAACCAACACCTGAGGGTGGGGCGAGGCGAGCCTTGACCCACCCGCTTCCGCCCCTGCAGCCTCGGGGCTCCATCCTCCTGCGTGGCTGCACTAGGGGTGCTGGGGGGCAGAGTGAGGACCAGACCTGAGGGAGTTCTGGGTTCGGCTTCCCAGCAACAGCAGCTGGGGCATCATCAGTGGGGCAGGTGACCCAGGATCTGAGCAGGAATCTTCCAGGTGAAGGTGGGGCCACCCTTCTGCTTCCCACAGCTGCCTTCTGCTCTGGGGGCAACACTGGCTGAGAATCCAGTGAAGTAAGGGCTTTGAAATGGCCTTGATTTAAAAAATAATGTTTAGCCTAAAAAATAATGTTTAGCCATTCCTTTTATATATATATATATATATATATATATATATATATATATATATATATACTTTAAGTTCTGGGTTACATGTGCAGTTTTGTTACATAGGTATACCCGTGCCCTGGGGGTTTGCTGCACCCACCAACCCATCACCTACATTAGGTATTTTTCCTAACGTTATCCCTCCCTTTCATTCTCCCCCACCTCCCGACAGGCCTGCATCCTACCGTGTGTGATATTCCCCTCCCTGTGTCCCCGTGTTCTCATTGTTCAACTTCCACTTATGAGTGAGAACATGCAGTGTTTGGTTTTCTGATCTTGTGATAGTTTGCTGAGAATGATGGTTTCTGCCTTCATCCATGTCCCTGCAAAGAACATGAACTCATCCTTTTTTATGGCGGCATAGTATTCCATGGTGTATATGTGCCACATTTTCTTAATCCACTCTATCATTGATGGACATTTGGGTTGGTTCCAAGTCTTTGCTATTGTGAATAGTGCCACAGTAAATACACATGTGCCTGTGTCTTTATCGTAGAATGATTTATAATCCTTTGGGTATATGCCCAGTAGTGGGATTGCTGGGTCAAATGGTATTTCCAATTCTAGATCCTTGAGGGATTGCCACACTGTCTTCCACAATGGTTGAACTAATTTACACTCCCACCAACAATGTAAAAGCTTTCCTATTTCCCCACAACCTCTCCAGAATCTGTTGCTTCCTGACTTTTCAATGATCGCCATTCTAACTGACATAAGATGGTATCTCATTGTGGTTTTGATTTGCATTTCTCTAATGACCAGTGATGATGAGCATTTTTTCATATGGCTGTTGGCTGCATAAATGTCTTCTTTTGAGAAGTGTCTGTTCATATCCTTTGCCCTTTTTTTGATGGGGTTGTTTTTTTCTTGTAAATTTGTTTCTTTGTAGATTCTAGTAATTAGCCCTTTGTCAGATGGATAGATTGCAAAAATATTCCCCCATTCTGTAGGTTGCCTGTTCACTCTGATGATAGTTTCTTTTCTGTGCAGAAGCTCTTTAGTTTAATTAGATCCCATTTGTCAATTTTGACTTTTGTTGCCATTGATTTTGGTGTTTTAGACATGAAGTCTTTGCCCATGCCTATGTCCTGAGTGGTATTGCCAAATGGTATTTTCTTCTAGGATTTTTATGGTCCTAGGTCTTACGTTTAAGTCTTTAATCCATCTTGAGTTGATTTTTGTAAAAGTTGTAATGAAGGGGTCCAGTTTCTCCATATGGCTAGCCAGTTTTCCCAACATCATTTATTAAATAGGGAATATTTTCTCCATTGCTTGTATGTGTCAGGTTTATCAAAGGTCAGATGGTTGTAGCTGTGTGGGGTTATTTCTGAGGCCTCCGTTCTGTTCCATTGGTCTATGTATCTGTTTTGGTACCAGTACCATGTTGTTTCAGTTACTGTAGCCTTGTAGTATAGTTTGAAGTCAGGTAGTGTGATGCCTCCAGCTTTATTCTTCTTGCCCAGGATTGTCTTGGCTATGCAGCCTCTTTTTTGGTTCCATATGAAGTTTAAAGTAGTTTTTTTCCAATTCTGTGAAGAAAGTCAGTGGTAGCTTGATGGGGATAGCATTGAATCTATAAATTACTTTGGGCCGTATGGCCATTTTCATGATATTGATTGTTCCTATCCATGAGCATGGAGTGTTTTTCCATTTGTTTGTGTCCTCTCTTATTTCCTTGAGCAGTGGTTTGTAGTTCTTGAAGAGGTCCTTCATATCTCTTGTAAGTTGTATTCCTAGGTATTTTATTTTCTTAGCAGCAATTGTGAATGGGAGTTCACCCATGATTTGGCTTTCTGTTTGTCTGTTATTGGTGTATAGGAATGCTTGTTATTTTTGCACATTGATTTTGTATCCTGAGACTTTGCTGAAGTTGCTTATGAGCTTAAGAAGGTTTTCTGTGGGATCAATGGTGATATACCCTATTCGATTCTTCTCTATTTTCTTATTT